ACCTAGCGATCAGAGGCGGAGCCGTAGGGGAAAACTCTGAGCCACCAGCCTAGGAACACAGCAGGAACCCACACCTGTCCAGGACAAACACTAGAGCACCCATCATGGCATGAGGCGAACTGCTCTCATTTTCCTCTTTCCTTCGACCTTTTCGTGTGACAGGAACTTGTGACGATAATCAGCAAAGTCCGCTTAGTGTATGGCCTGGTCTTACTGTGACTAATAAGATGATTGGTTGCATATATCCCCTTTATGGTTGTTCATTATATCACCCTAACATAAAGTAATTTAATTTCAGTTGGATAATTAGGGTATATCTAATCTAACTGATAGTCTGAGTGAAATGAGATTCTCAAAGGGAGATTCGTGTATCAGGAGACTGGTGACCTCCGGCCCCAATTTCCACACAATGTACTCATCTGACAGCCCGACATCCCAGGCCTACCATCTCCGTGCATTTCCGAGTCTGTGGGTTATAGAACACACCCACAAATGAGAGTACTTTATTTATAATGAGATTTCCTTGGGTTCAAAGAAACAGATCATAAAATTTTAACTGAGACCTTCAGACTGACAGAGTATCCATATGTCACCTGTGGCTTTGGTCCCATCCGGGGTCTTGATGTGTGGCCCAGGGGACAGTTCAAGGCCACCCTAGCAAGGAAATCTCAAGCTGGCTGAGAACCACAGAAAAAGTCTCACCTTACCAGAAAAGAAAGAACCTGATCATTAAGCCTTAGATGAGGGGAGAGGGTGGAGGGGGCAAGGAAGAAGCCAACAGAAAGTAGCAGTGAGGATGATGGGTAAGAGCTGCGTTCTGAGAAGCAGATCAGCTGAAAAACCTGCAGCCTGCCCTCCCATCCTCCGTCACACCCATAGCAGCTGACTTTCACCTCTGTCCACTACCGTGGTCCCTAACTCTTCTGCGTCACTCTGATGCCAATCATCAGAGCAGGATCCCAGCTCTTAGGAAAACCTGCTGCTGAAAGCATTCGCACTATTCTTTCTTCCACTGAACACCCACTTGAGCCCAACACTGTCAGACCAAAAACAGAGTCCCTCTTTCCAAGCATTTACATTCTTCTCAGTGTCTTGTTTAAGCCTCCTTGGTAAATTCTTTTTAGAATTTAACATGAGAGAAACAATTCAGTTTTCTTGGAAGAAATAATATGTTTTCATTTATCAGGTCACGATAATTATGCAGCTCATCTTGCTCCCTGTTTTCTCAGGTGTCAGGAAGCATGGCGATTAATGTCACATGCAACTGTGGCTGCAGTACTAGGTTGCTGCTTGTGTCTTCTTCCTTCTTATTTTCTATTTTTAGTGAAAAAGACTTATTGAAATGCATCGTTTTAGTGAGGTATGAGTTCCATTTGGAAAAAGTATACTCTTAAAAAATAAGCAAAGATGGGCCCTCCCCGGTGGCGCAGTGGGTTAAAGCACAGCACTAAGAAGCTGAAGCTGCTTCTGCATGAGTTCCACCCCCGGCTGGCCCAGAGATGATCCACATGGTGCAACAGACCTTCCTGACCCACCCACTGCTCCTCTCAGCCATGTACTTCATCGATCTGCCTGTTCTGCTCCCCGCTCTTTGTGTGGTGAATCCTCTCACTGCCTCTGCACCTCTGGCCTGTATCCCAGTTCTGTTTGCATAAATAAATATTTAAAAAAGAAATAAGCAAAGATGGAATCATTGACTTATAAAAAGCCACTGTTAAAAACTCCTTTAGTGAGTATTTACTGAGCACCTATGAATAACCAACATCTGCTGAGCTCACAACAGGGGCCTTTTCTAAACACTGCCCTGTAAAGAGCCTCCACCCGGAGGGGATAATGATCCTCCAACCCTGTTTTAGCGAGGAGGAGGGAACTAGGAGCAGAGAAGCGAGAGTTTGTTTAGGGCGACACACCAATAATATGGAGCATCGGGATCAAAACCTGGGCTGGGCGGCACCTGGGTGGCCTCTTAGCCTGCTTCTCAGCACCTGCCGCTGACTGCTGCCTAGAAAAGATGCCTTCTACATACCAGACGCGTCCCCATCTTCTGAAGCCTCCCTTTCACTGCAGCTGCCCCTGCAGTGGCTGGCAGTGCTCTCCAGGCTTTCTGGCTTCCTTCCCCGGGGTGTCTGCCTCGACCTTGGGGAGGTCATAGAATCACTCAGTGACAGGCACACTTGGAAGAGCAAGGGGACTGACACCTCATGGGCAGACTTGACCTCTCAGGGATGGAAGTGGAGAAAGCCAGCAGGGATCTATCTTTTAAAGCAGAAAGGTTAACGTGTACTAAGCTGACACTTTCTAATGGAAGTGCGCACACTTTGCCCAGTTCTTCTGAGGGCTGCCTGCACATTACCTCATTTAATCTTGGCAACGCTCCTCTACGGTAGATTATGACTCAGGTTTAATATCCATGTTGCAGATCAGGCAAGGGGGTCTTGAGGGATTAGGCAAATTTGTCCTCCCACGGAGGAGGCTGTGACACTTCACATCTCCCCCACAGGTGCTGCACCCTCAGCCACCACCACCCAAATGTCCCCCTCACTGGCCAACCCCAGTTCCCGCCTGGGACATCTCTCCTCAGCAGTTTGGCCCTGAATAGGCTTCAGGATAAGTTCCTTCGCTGTGATAAGCAGGGCCCACGATCTCTGACAGCTGTTCCCCGCTCTTCATCATCATCTGAAACAATCAGTAAGCATTAGAGAGTACTTTTCCCTTTACAAAGGTGATAATTAGATAACAAGCTGAGATTAAAGTAATTACAGTTAGACAGCTGGCGAGGCAGCACAGTCATGTTGAAATATTGTTGGTACTTCAGCATCTGGTTCTAATAACAGCATAGGCTAAAGGATTTTACATTAATTACAGAACATAATTTAATATAAACATATTTAATTACAATTGATGAGCGATAAACTGTTCAAGAATGACTTAACCCCTTCTACGTGCCAAAGCAATAGGCATCGCGGACAGCCTGCGGCCTCTTCAGCTGTCTTCTCACCCTTCCCACCAAACTCTCCACCACTCCCGAGCCCCCCTTTTTGGAGGAACACCCTGCTCAGGAAAGGAATGTTCTAAATGAAGATTGTCCTGTGGGTGTTCGGCGCATGTACAGTACGGCCCATCCTTAGAGGGCCAGGTGGGAGCAGCCTGCCTCACAGTGCCTCACCCTGGGCTGCAAGGCTGCCTCTCCTCACCTGGACCCCCACACTCTCACACCTGCATGTGGTACTGGCTTGTCTTCTGATAGTCAGTGAGCAACCTACTAAACAATCTTCAGACTCATTAGAGAAAGTACCAAGTAAGCCCATTGCTTCTGGTCATGACTAGGAAGCCCCCGGCCACAGCAGCGAGAGTGTTTTCTCAATTTCGGAGTCAACGTGTCATGCCTGACCCTTCCACAAGAGGCAGGACATTCTATGCCAGCAGGACACCTTCCTTACAGAACTGGCAAAAGCAGAACGGGTGAAGCAGTTTACCACAAACTGAAACAACACAGCCACGTTTCCACATCCTCAACTGTTCCTACCTGCACATCATCTTTCCAGAACCATGAAGGGAAGACTTTCAAAAGCCACAACAGTCATGTTATGGACTGCATATTTGTTGTCCCTCACATTCATTAAGGGACATTCCACATTCATGTGGAAATTCAAACCCTAGTGGATGACGTTCGGAAGTGGAGCCTTTGGGAGATCATTAGGTTTCCATGAAGTCATGAGGTTGGAACCTTCATGATGGGATTAATGCCCCAATAGAAAGAGAAAGACTTCTGCCACATGACGGTAAGAAGGTGGCTGTCTCCAAAAGAGGAAGAGGGCCCTCTCCAGAGCTCCACCTTGCAGATACCCTAATCTGGATTTCCCAGTATCCTAAACTATGAGAAATAAGTTTCTACTATTTACATAACACATTCAGTGGTATTCTGTTACAGCAGCCAGAACCCAGTAAAGACATCACTAAGTCTCAGCTGACTGCAATGATTCTTAAGAGTCAGAGCAAAGAAGGGAAAAGGATGACCCTTCCTAAAAATGAATGGCACACCCTGGAGTGGGCTGGGTAATTCATGTCAAGTTTCTCTATGTGACAAATGATGTGAAGTTACAAATAGCCTCAAGTGCTGTTTTTACCTCCTGCTGTGTATTCAAAGTATAAAGCACACATCCATAACCTAAAAGCTAAAATGAATGCAGAGGAAAACAATTTATTATTGATAAGTAAGCAAGTAGGTGCTACTTCTAGAGGAAGGACTGGCAGGTGCACACCAAGTAGATTAGTGTGAAAGGGCAGGACCACAGAGCACCTGAGGAGAACCAGGCGCTTGTAACACAAAAGGGGCTCTACACATAGATCCTTTCAAGAAAATAAGAAATTTAAATCCCCTACCAGCAAATCTGCGATGTGAGCAAGAACTATAGGGTGTATTTTGTCGACTAAGCACTCCAGATGGAAGTGAGAAAAGAGAAAGTAGCCAATAAAGCTTTTGGTATTTTAAAATTTACTGTTCTGTTACCAAAAAGAATTACTTTGGTAGTCAAAGCAGGAAATTTAAAAAACCCACTACAATAGTCTTCGTAGATTATAGATAGGTATATAAATAGACAGAGATGCTTTACTCACACATAAAAAAGGCCTGAAGGGCTGACAGCAATGTCTAATCTCAGATGTCTGTGTCTAGCCCAGGGTCTAAAGAGAGTATGTTTTCAGGCACAGATCCTCACTGGAGACTCAATGCCTCCATGCTTGCTGGCAATTTAGTGCAAAGGACCAAAATATGGGAACACCTGAGCCTACAGGAGCAGCAGGCTGACACCTGCCACGCTCCTATCTCAGCCTTCCAGTTCTCTGGGGCCATCTGACTTCCAGTTGTCACAATGAAATATGAACAAAGCAAATAAAAATAGCAGTTATCTGTTCCCAGCATGCCCTTCGTGAATTGTCAACTAAAGGAGGGTCAGAGGGCTGACATGAGGACGTGTGGCAGCGGGAGCCGTGAAACTTACCTGATCAGGTAGTGGTTGGTAATAGTGTCGAAGTAGCTGTAGTACACGACATTGTTCACGTGGCCATATTGGTCATTGTCCTGCCACCTCGTCTGGATGGGCAAGAAGTAACCATAGGCCTCACGGTGTCGACGATGGTCCTCAACTCTCTGATTCTCTAATGACGTAGCCAAGGAACGGATATTCCCAGGAAGCAGCTTCGAGATCTGAGAGGTCATAGTTGGTGATATAGTTGGTGATGGCTACCCTGGAAGGTTCCTTTAAGAAGAAACAAAGGGAAGAGCTCCTCAGATATTTTGATTTTAGTTTGATTAAAGCAATTACATTAAATGTTGACCATTGGTTTTCAAAGGACATCTTATCTTTTTTCCCTAGGTAAAAAAAAAAAAACAAAAAAAAACCTTCCTTTATAATCCAGGTCCCTGCCACAAACCTATGTATACTTTTTGAAGAACTACTTACTAACACAGCTTTGGCATATACTGACAGAATCAAGAGAAGCCTTTGTTTCAATTTGACTAGTGAGAATTGAAAGTACATTGGCATGGAGGTCTTCTGTTTCACAAGCATCTTCAAGGTGGGTTTTATGGCTGACGAAATCTCTAAAGCTACTGAGGCCATGAATATTGATAGAACTCAATGGTGCAGTGTAAAGTATGTTTGCCAGAAAGTATTCCTAGCTGGACTTACAACAATACATTTATTTTTAAACATGTATTAATTTTCTCTTAGGATAAAAAGTACTTTTTTTTTAACAACATAAACAAAAGAAAAACTAAAAACCTACCAAGACCATCTATGTATATTCATCCAGTCTTATGTTTATTTATATGTATTTATTTATACATTCTGAAATTGGACCCTACTGAACATGCTTAGCAACAGATCATTATTATGTTTAGATAGCCTTCTACATCATTTGTGATGTTGAATTGCATTATATTGAAGCTTCATGATTTCTCAAACCCCTCTATGTTGCATGTTGAGGATTTTGATTACAATTTTGTTGACTGGGATTAACATCTCTGTAAATCATCCTTGATTATTTGCTTAGGATAAATACTTAGGAACAGAATTGTGGAGTCAAAGGGCAAATGAATTGTTAAGGATTTTGATATATATTTATGCCTTCTGGAGAGGTGGCACCGATTTATACCTTCCCTACTGCCCCCACCCACAGTAGATGAGCAGGGCCAATTTCCCTGTCAATTCTAAAATGCTTTGTCAATGTGACTGTGTTCTCTCATTTCCATACATATTTAATGAAATGTGCTAAGTGGAAAGATGACTGCTGCTACTAGCTATGATGGAATAACTAGTCTGGGAAGAGGCCCACTGTTGGAGAACAACTGTGAAAGTCACACAAAATGTAAAGGAACTGTTTGAAGTTCTGAGGAAATAATCAAGGCAGCGGGACTTAACACACTGCAACCCAGGGACAGGGTAGCACACTGAAGTGAGCCTTGCATTTGCCACTGCTGGTTCTCCTCAGCGTATCTGCTAACTAATCATGCAGGGAATAAAGGCTGAAAGGATGGCAGTAACTCAGAGCTGCCGGTGGGCTTACTGTGCTGGAAATGTGGACCCAAACTGAAAGGCCAATATCCTGCAGAAGAGAGAACTGCAGAGAGGGGAACCTGACTGGTGCAAATCCCCCTCAAGCTGTTTGCTGACTCTCAGGATGAATATACTCTTGTAAGAGAGAAAAACCAGCTGTAAGGCTAACAAGCGTATAGCTAAAGGCTCTAAGGCTATAAAGCTAAAAATCTGAGGAGAGAAATGTGAGTTTCATTATGCTGAGGATGCAAAAATTAGCTTTTGGGCAGCCAAGCAGGAGGGCAAAAACCCCAGACCTTCAGTTTGGACTGAAGAAGGGTATAAATATTCCCTCAGAGTGGGGGCAAAACTTGGTAGAGGTTTTGTACCCATACTTCACCTGCCAGCCAGCAGAAAATGAAGTCATCTCCAGAAGAAAATACCATTCAGAGCCTCTACAGCTTTTGATACAAAGTCTAGTGTTTCATAAAAAAAAAAAAAATTATCAAGAAAGAGGAACAAATGACCAACCAACGGGATTTAAGATGAAACAATAAAAATAGTTCCATAGACACACAAAGATTTTCACATCATTATAATGAGCAGTCATTATAGATAAAAAGCTAAGCTCCATTCCCACTACATCAAGAAGAACTCTAAAGTTGAAGGGCGAAAGATCAAACACCAATAAAAATTAAGTGAAAGTCACAGACTGTTCATAATAAATATTTTTACATGACCTTCAAGTATACGAAAGAAGGGATGAGTGCAGATAACAAGAGAACTACAAAATAGAATTATGCAGATACCATTTCTAAATTAATAGATTTGGTAAAAATTACACAGCTTGACAGCACAGTCCTTTGCCAGGGCCATGAGGAAAGAGATACTCTCATACACTGCTGTGGGAATGTCTCTACCTTTATAGGAGGAGAATTTGACAACACCTAACAAAACTACATGTGAGTTTATCTTTGACTCAAAGTTAAGAACTTACTTTGAAGCTACACTTGCACACATACAAAAAATACACATGAACAAGATACATTACTACTAGTAACTGAGAAGTATTGGGCAAGAAATATGCATAAAGATTAGTTAACTAAGCTCTGATATAGTCACACAAAAGTGTAGTAGAAACATGTATAAAAGATATGTTATCTAAACTGTGATATATTCACACAAAGGTTTATTACATAGCTATAAATAAAAACTAAAGGAGGCAGGATATGGAATGATTTCCAGTATATATAGTTGCTGGTATTCACAAAAGTAAAGTACAAGAGGATATTTAGCAAGCCACTTTTGTATAAGAAAGAAGAGAAAATAGAATAGTTGATCCAATTTGAATTAAGATTATATAGCACATAACAGTATTGTATCAATATTCAACTTCCTAATTTTAGTAATTGTACTATGGGCAATAAGAGAAATTTATATTTTTAAATAATTTAGGTATAAAGAAACATGATATCCAATCAAATGATTCAGAAAGAAAAACAGAAGGGAAGGTTATAAATGTCCACCAAAGAAATAATAATAAATCTGAAAAACGTAAAATAAAATGGTGAATATAGAAGGATGAAATATAATAATACTTTCTACTAGCCCTCCAGCTCTTTGTAATTTGAAATTAAACATTTAAGTTACCATATCAATGTGTTAAAAACAAGTAAGAAATTTATGATTTTATCAAAGCACTGGAATATTCAAAATACAATCATACTATGAATTCAATAGGTGGTTAAAACAATAGACTAGTCATAGAAGAGAAAATTCTAGAAAATAGGTCAGTCTACATATTTAGATTGAAGGACAAACTGTTGGAAGGATTTAAAATGCAAAGCAAGCATGAACAATGCATGGGATACCACTTATTTTTTCAAAGTAGGGTAATTGTTACAATCAAAACTCTAGATATACAGGAAAGAAATAACAGGTAAAAACCAGTATTTGGGCCCTCCCTGTGGCACAGCAGTTTAAGACCAAACACTGCAAGCTAGCCGCAGCAGCTTCAGTACCACTGATCCCCCGCATGGGGGATAACCCACATGGCAGACCTCTCCTGACCCCCTGCTCCCCTCAGCTCTGTACTTCGTAGTTCTGACTGCTCTGCTCCCCGCTGTCTCTGGTGAATCCTCTCACTGCTCCTGCACCTCTGGCCTGTACCCCAGTTCTGTATGTGTAAATAAATAAATATTTAAAAAAGAAAACCAATAGTTGATGAGATACTGGCAGAAAATTTCCCAAAACTAAAAATAATTTTCATTTTCAAGAATGTTATGTTCACCATTGAACACAAATTGGATAAATCCTAAAAAATGAAACAGGATGAAAACCAAAGAAAATCTTCACTGAAGCAAAAAAAAGAAATTTTACCTTTACAATAACAAAAGAAAACTTATTTAATGGAACCAATTTATTTAGAAAGCAAAAGAATGACTCCTTTAAAATTCTTAAAGTAAAATATTTCAGAACTAAAATTCTACATCCATAGAAAATATCCTTCAAAATCGAAAGCAAAGTAACAAGTCATTTGCACAAAAGCAGTTCATCCCAAGCAGACCCATTCTAAAGGAAATGCTAAAGGGCACTCTCCAGCCAGGAGGAAATGATCTTCAATTAAAGCCTAATAATGAAGAAAAAAATGGAAAGAGTAGATAAGTGAGTAAATTTAAATTAATATTGACTGCTTTAAGCAATGATATTAGTAACATAAACTTTACAATATAGAGAGAATTTAAATAGCCCACAAGGGCAGAAGAGAATACAGCTAATATGTAGGTCTAAAAAAAAAAAAATAATTAAATGGAAGTTTAAGGATGGAAGCCAATGATTTAAGAATCCATCTCAAGAAGCTTTAAAAAGAACAGCAGTTAAACCCCCAAAAGCTATGATACCAGTAACCAAAATAAAGGCAAAATCAATAAACTAGTATAAAAATAAGTAATAGAACACATTTCAACCATTTTTTTTTCCTGGAAAATAACAAATGGTAAATATTTTAAACTTCATGGATCATAAGATATGCAACCCCTGTTTTCTACTCAACTACTCTTTCAAACTCTTCTAAACTCAACTCTTCTAAAGCAGGCACATACACAAACAAATGGATATGGCTGTCTTCCAATAAAACTAAACTCGCAAAAACAAGTGATGGGCCAGATTAGATCCATGAGTCATATTTGTCAATCCCTGCAACAGAATGAGACAATAAAGCTGAAAGTTGGTTCTTAAAGATGAGGAAATAGGTTAAATTCCAGTAAGAATGTAAATAGAAAAGAAAGTATAAAGTATCAATATAAAAAGAAGAAACAAAGGTGATCACTAAGGATCTTAGACATTAAAGATACTAAAAATAACGTTAGATCAATAAATTCAATAATTTTGATGAAATGGGTAAGTTTTTAAAATACTGACTTAACAAAACTGATATGAGAAATAGAAAATCTAAATAGTCCTATGTTTATTTTAAAAATGAATCCATAGTTATGTTTATCTGCCAAGAAAACTTGAGCCAAAATGATTTCATCGATAAACTTTTCAAACATTCCAAGAACTAATAACAATCTTATACAAATTATTCCAAGGGATGGATAAAATGAATCACCTCTGAACTTATTACTTGAGGACCATCTAACCTGTATCCCAAAACTGAGCAATAAAGAAAAATTATTATAAGAAAGGACAGATATAAGTTCTATCATGAACACAGATGTAAA